TTCACTGATGTAATTGTATCCATGTTCATTTTTCCTCGCAATTCTTGAAGCATAACCTCAAACATTTGAGGTAAGGGTTTGTAACCTAAGAGAAATGAAGTAATTAGTATAAAAAATGAAAATGAGTGAGAAATGAAATTGGGAAAAATATAACATATCCATGGGTATAATTAATTGTCGTTCATAATTCTTCTTATATCTGCCCTGATAGTTTGCAACAATGTATCGGATACAAAGATGATGTTGGACGTGTGGGGGTTTCCACATTGGACCTAAAGAGTCCATTGTTGCTTTGATCCCAACTCCTCGGTCTGAAATGATACAAATACATTCCCTCATGATAACATGTAACCATAGATTTCTCAGGAAAAATCCCAAGACTCTGTATTTTCTCCTTCAACAAGGGCAAGGGAAATGGGAAGAATGTTACGATTACCATCTTGGACAACTGTCAATAATAAGACTTGCTTATATTATACATACAAGAATGTACCATTAATTTGGATAGTAGGTTTACAATATTTCACTGCATTAATGCATTGTGGGTAAGTCCAAAAAACATGGTGAAATTGACATCGATCTCAAAGAACTCGATCATTATGGTAGGCATGACAAGTTTCGAACTCAACTATTGTTCCATGATTCAGTCGTTGAACCAGGTTAAACCAACTGGGTAGTTTGTGTTAAGATTATCCCATTTGCCGTGTAGTTTTATAATGACATTATATTTTGCCTTCCATGTTTTTTGTAGGAGACGATGTACCCAAAATGAGATTGTATTGTAGATATCAACACTGCAATAGGTATGTGGAAGCTTTCTCTGACCAAGGGCATGATGGCTTGGCAAATCACGTTGGAGTCCAAGTTTGGATAGTTCAGTTTGAAGCAACTTACGCTTTAGGTATACGATTGATTCACATAAAAGAAAGGTTGCAAGAAGAATATCAAGTGTTATCCAGCCTAAACTCAATGCATATAAAGATGAAGTAAAAAGAGCTTTTCCACCGCAAAAGCATGATTATCTCAACTATTGCCAAAATTTTCTCGGTTTCATACATTGAAAAGACACCACAAACATATTGCTCATGTGATGACACATTTAAAGGTTGCTTTTATTGTTTCTAGAATCGTGAAAGCAATATTATAATGGATTTTGTTCTTAGTAGGACTAATTAAATTCAATATGAGATTTGTTATAGATGTGACTATAAAAACAACAAACCATAAACATTACATTAAACAACAAACCATTAAACATGACATGAAGCATACCAAACCAACGAACCAAAATACCACAAATCTTTCACAGACCTTAAACAGTAAATAAAAACATACACATACGCCTAAAACAAGAAATAAAACATACACATATACCTAAAACAAACTTTTCTTAATGATATTACGATGCACAATTGCGTTTGAACCAATCTTTCGGGTGTTCATCATTATCTCTGTGTTCCCAAACTCATTCTGCTTAATTTGTTGGATAGTCGAACTCGAAGCATCATCATCAACATCCTTAAACTCTACAAACAAATCCACATGAGATACAGAATGAGAGCAGTATGTCTCAATCATACCACAAAGGTTGACATCATCGCTTAGAAGAAACCTCTTAAATGATATTGACAATCTATAATATAGTAATAGATTCTTCTTTTCCTCCCGAGTTTGACATTTCTTTCTATTTTAAGCTTAAACTCTTCAAGTGAATTTTTTGTTGTTGAAAGACATGCTTAAATAATTGAAATAAAAAAACATTTGCCTAAATAGTAATCATCCTAACTAAACAACTAAAGTTTTTGACTGAATATATTAAAATTAACTTTCACCTCGCACACACATATATAGGCCTTAGGAAGCGGTCCTATAAAATCAGCCTACCCAAATTATTGTTCCTTATGACATTCTGAATGGTCGACTATGTGTCGTATTAGTTTAGAGGTGTTATATGTTCGCCATAGCAGCCACTATAGTGGGCGGGATCTCACCTTGTCGGTCGTGGGGAACATGCTCGGCTAAGGACCAATATTCGAAATCCAATTATCAAACCAACAATCAATATCAAAGCCCAAGCCAACAGCCCAAAGCAGATTCATTCTCACTGAACACCAAATAGTGCGTAAGTCTTTCCATATCCGAGAGCAATTAGTCGATCGCAAAACCAAAGGCACCCCTCAATACATTTATACTTAGCACGTAAAAAACGAACCCATAAATCCTCCTTGCGGACAAGAATATTAAAGGCAAGCTTCATTAAAAAAGCCTCGTTAAAAGTGCCCAAATAATGAAAACCCAAACCTCTAGTAGAAATCGGCTTATAGACATCAGACCACTTAACCAAATGAACTCCTCCATGAGTAGTCATGTTACCCCAAATAAATCGTCTTATCAACTTTTCAATGAGGTTACAAACCGTTTTAGGGAGAAAAGTAGTCTGCATTGTATATGTGACAATCGCTCCACAATTTAAACAAGATAATGATAAGAAGCCATAGTGACACGTTTATGAAGAACATGGACTCCCAGATATTTACCAAGGTCCTCCACTTCTTTAAAGCCGAATCCAATACTGATAAACCATCGAACCTCCCTGGTCACATTCTTAGAGAAATATAAAGTCATCTTCTCAACACTGACCTTATGTCCAGAAGCCTGGCAACAATTATTCAGAATCGTTCGGACTATCTCAAGCTGATTTGGGGAAGCTTTAATGAAAAGAATCATATAATCCGCAAAAATATATGGGAGATAGCTGGGCCACGGGAGGTCGTTCGAAAAGGCTTCCAACGGCCGTCAACGGTAGCATCATTGATTGCTTGCGAAAGGCGCTCTATGCAGAGGACAAATGTAAAGGATCTCTTTGTCTAATCCCCCGGGTAGGTTTGAAAGATTCCGTCATATGGCCATTCCACAATATACAAGAAGAAACTGTAGACACACATTGCATTGTTAGACGCCGAGTAGAATCCGGTAAACCAAAATCCAAAAGAGTATCTTGATCAACTCCCATTCAAGTCTATCTTAGGCTCTTTCAAGGTCAATTTTTAGTGCCATCCAACCCTTTTTACCAGTTTTACGGCCCATGTAATGAACAATTTCTTGAGTTGTGATGATATTATCGTTTTCGATCTTCCATGCACAAAACTCGTCTGATTTTCTGAAACCCATTTAGGAAAAACGGCTTCAATCCGTTGACTAAAACCTTGGATATGATTTTATAGACGACATTACATAGGCTGATGGGACGGAACTTCCCCATACGTTCCGGAAGCGGAATCTTCGGGATGAGAACAATCAAAGTCTGGTTGATGCTGGTTGGAATTTCGCCCGTGGCGAAAATCATCTTGATAAACTCGCATACAGAATTGTCCACGATATGCAAATTACGTTGAAAAAACCCTGCATTCAAACCATCAACACCCGGAGTCTTTCTAGCTCCCATATCAAACAGCGTCTTCCGAATCTCATCATCCTGCACCCCCCACGTGAGTCTATCTTTCTATTGCCAAGACATTTTCGGAAAACACCCACACCCAAGGCGTCACACAATTTGAGCTAGAGAATAAAGCTTTGTAGAAATTCAAGGCCATCGAAGCAAGATCTTCAGAATTAGTACACCAACTTCCATCATCCTTTTGTAAATATGATCGTCACAAAATTTGTGTTATTTTCTAAATGTTATGTTACTTAAAACGTTTAGAATCAAAACAAATTTTGATATTTTCATTTAACTAATAGTTACTTATTGGGTCTCTAACAGAGTTTTTTTTTTTAAATAGGAAAGAGTTAAATTTTAATATCAGTTATTAATTCAAATTTAGATAATACAAAAATTATAAGTTCTCAATTGACCATGTAGACAAACTGAGTTTCATTTTAATTTTTTTTAATCTAGGATGATCAGAAGTGATAGTATATGTTCTAAAGATTCAATCATTCAACAATGAATATTCAAATAACGTTGGTGCTTGAATTTGAAACTTCTAAGAATAACAACCATCACTTTAACCATTGAGATAATTTCATTCAACTTATTCTATGCTAAGATCAAGATTCTGTAATATAGGTTTTTTTAAAATAATTTCAGAATTAGCGATACATGATAACGAATATAAGTATATAACGTAACCTTCCGATTGTGTGAGATTTAACGTATACAATTTGTCTCGTGATTAAATTATATTATTAAAATTTTAGTTATATTAATAAAAGCAAAATACATTTTGAGATTATTTATTTAATTTTCAGAAAACATTCACACAAACTCTATATTTAATTATATTCAAAACCTGAACTAAAAAACAAATATCATATGGATCCCAATATTAAAACAAACAAACATGAATGATGGTAATTTTTATAGTGGCCACCACTAGACGATGATGAAGGGAACATGATTTAAAAAAAAAAAATTAAAAAATGTAAACAATTTGATTTTAAATGTTTAATAATAATTAAATTTTATATTTTTAAATTTTATATAATATTAAAAAGATAATTCAGATAAATTAAAATAAGACTTAAAACTAAAAAGGAAAATTGGCTTAATACCATAGGCAGACTAATTATTTAGTCCAACATAACGTCATATATTTTGTTTTGAGAAATATGACATTTTCTACAGTAAATTAGAACTAATTAGGTGAGTCTGGTTAGTTTAATAAAATATATTTTAGCTTGGAATTTGTCACTCCAATATGATAAATTTTAATTTATTGAAATTTATCACTTCGACGTGACAAAATGATGAGTTTAAATAAAAAAATATTATTTAAGTAAACTCGTAATGTGAGTATGATAAGTTTGCACCACACTGTAAGATTTGACGTAAATCTCAAACTAATATTGGAGACGATTTAATGGACTAATTTTTTATCGGCCTGAACTTTTGGGCCAATTTTTGCCAAGCTTCACAGCGTGGCCCAATAAAACTTGTTAGAGGCCTTGAATGGATAAATTCTGAGCATGTGCTGCACCGAAATCAGCGAAGATGCTCTTTCTTCTGAATTTTTCGGTTTTCATCATCAATTGTCAACAACACCATTAAGCCTTCGACTTCAACTCTCCACCCTTTTCTCTTTTTGTTTTTCTTTCGTTAAGGTTTCTAACTCAGTGAGCCGCTATGACGACAACGGCTCAGTCTCCTTCTCCAATTCCAACGACGATAAGCCACAAGCAGTCTCAGGTCGGCTGCTTTTTCTCGTTTCTCTAAGTTAGTGTATACAGTCTGTAAACTTCGTTACGTTGACTTCTACTAATAGAGAACTAAACCCCACTTTTTTAGATGAATTTGCTTACTTTAAAGCTGACTTATATACAGTGTTATAAGAAAAAGATAATTTTGGGTTTTATATACATGTGAAAAGTGGGAACCGATTAAAAGGAGCAAATAAGGGAATATTGTACATGTTCAGTACAACTGAATAATTCTCATTTGTTTTTCCCCTTCAAAACAAGTGATTCTAATTGTGAATACCAATTTCAACAGAGGCTGTACAAGAAAATGTTAGGCCAGGGGCTACTAAACAGAATTTTGAAGCAAGCCAGGTTCAACAAGATATTAGTCCAAATGCTACTAAACAGTGTGTTCCAGAATCTGTGTTTGTGAAATCCGAACCGATAAGAGAGGACCACGTTTCTAATGCTGTCAAATTTCTTTCACACCCCAAAGTTAAGGGTTCGCCTGCTATCTATAGAAGATCCTTCCTCGAGAGGAAAGGCCTTACAAAAGAGGAGATATATGAAGCTTTTCGGTGCGTGCCGGTTATATAACTGTTCTTTTTTTTTCATTATCTTGCTTCAGGTGTAATTTCATGAACTAGATTTTTCTCGCGTTCAGATAACATTTTTTAGGAAGTTATCATCCCAAAGTTGAAATTGTGGATACGTAAAGTTGTGCTGGAAGAAGAAAATGACCATACCAAGAAAATTGATGCAAAACCAAGTTTGGCAGAGGAGGCAGCAGCTGCGGCTGCATCTGCTGGCAATACTAAAGCGAGTCAGGAAATGTTGAACTCCAGAAATGAAGGTGAATTTGGAAAGGAAATTTTATTTTTTGTTGAATAGTTTCATTATGTTTCATTTGTCTTTTTGTTCTTGCACAAGTATCTTCTTGATTTACTGAACCTAGTTTGATACTTGCCAGAGCGAAGGTGCTTTGAGAAATTTATGAATCTTATGGATGTGCAAGTGCAAGAGATGAAGTCAATGAGTAATTCAATAAGCAAACTGGAAGGTACTCTTATACAGTTTTTAGTGTAGCCATGTCTTTTAAAATATTCGTTAGAATTTGATTCTTGAACGTTTCCTGTTGTGGCCATGCTTATACCTAATGTGTTGCATGTTAGACAATTCATTCGTTGCAGTAAATAAATGAATGATAAATTGATAATTAAGGGAAGTGATTTTTTATTCAGGGTCTATGACCTTAGTTAATAAACATTGTGTTGGATATTAATTTAGCTGTATCGATACCTTTCCTTTATTATGACCTTGTTAATATTGGGTGCACTTTATAGAGATGTAAGGAACCCAAAAGAATAGCAAAGGTCTCTTAGGAAGTTAAGCTTTGGAAGAAGAGTTCTTTCCTTAAATAGCTTGATATTATTATTTTCTGAAGGATTCCCCCCGGCAAGTAACCTAGCTCGACTACTCAGCAAGCTATCTTCATGTATTAATGGTGCTAAGAACCAACATAGTGATGATTATAAAACAAATTCAATTGGCATTGGACAACATCCAATGTCATTTAGTTTCATTGGTACTGCTTGCTTATCACTTACCAAGGGCATCTTCTGAAATTATTGTCTTATGCTGCCACATATAGTTTAGTTTCTTCGGAAGACAACCCAACTGTGACTGTTGAGTTGTTGAATTTCATTGCTAATTTTCTTATTTTTTATACTGCTAGGACAAGCTAATAGCTCTGGCAGGGCATTTTCTGATCATGATGATCATAGACTATCGGCCTTGGGTACAAAGGTATGCTGAAACCAAGTTAATTCCAAACGCTTTATATCTGTTTTGGAAAATAAATCCTCTGATCCCAGTTTACCACTCAAATCGATGCACTTCAAGAATATTCACACTTTAATACTGACAATACTAGTCGAACGGATCATCTTCAGAACCATTGTTGAACGGATCTTGAGGAAATGTACGTATTCCGATGGTATTTGTTTTATTTATGTATTGAACATTCTCCAACATGACCGACGTACTTGAGTCGTACTCCACAACCTTTAGGGGCGATATAATACTTAGGTTTTTTCGGTGTTTCCAAAATTATCAAATAACATTCACTTATTTCTAGGTCATGAGGGTAGTCAGGTCATTTTTGTACTCGAGATTGCTTCGGTCTTCTTAGAGTTCAAGGTATTCCAATCATTTTCTTTGATTCAGTTATATATATATATCATTTCCAGTAATTTAATCAAGATGAGCTATTACTAAACAAAAATGTCTTTAAAGCAATCCTATGTGAATCGAAAGGTGGATGTCAATGTGCAGCAAGGTAATTTTTCTCTGATTATTTTTCTGTACTTAGTTGTCCAGTCGGTCCTAACAATTTGAATTCCAGAATCCTATAACTATGATATATTTTAAGCAAGGAGATCCTCCACACCACATGCATCTGCGGAACCACCTCACTCGAAGTCGTATATGGAGGTAGTGATTTGCTTTGTCCTTATGAGTTGCAATATTTAACAGTTGCAAGACAAATACAATATTTCTGGATAGGTTTTGAAGATATTTTGGTAATTGTGTTGCAGATTATGTAAATGATCCAAAGAAGGGAGAAACCTTCAATATCAGAGTAATCCAGTTAATATTTATATGCTGAATTTTGTTTATTGCATCAACATTAACTTTGTTATTCCTGATTCATATTCAGGAAATCAATGATATCCCTCCCAACCCTAACCAGCAATTGTCAAATCCTCGCATAGCACCAAGATCTAAGGTCTGTTCTACAGTTTCTCTTTTACCTTTAGGATCATTTCTCTTGCATTTTATTAGGATTCCACTTCAATGGGGTTAATTAAACATCTTTGAGAAGTGGGATATTTTAATTATCACGTTTGAAGAGTTTTTGGGTCTATAATCAATATATATACCAAATTGGTTACTGATATTTTCCTTTGAGCAAAACGGGTAGTCCCATACATTAGTTTCTTCATCCCGTGGTGTGGGACTGTGGGTGGTGGATCTATCTAAAGAAAACTTGCATACAATCATGACCACCATATTTTCATTCTTGGAAACATTAATAAAGACAACAACCTATTTCGAAACATTAATGTAAATGTTTTTGAAAATGAAAAAGTTAAGGGGCCCAAAATGAAAATGCAAAGGAATTGTTGCTGTTGGATTTCTTGAAGACGGAAATGGTTTTGGAAGTTAAGGTCCAAGGGTGCACTCTTTTGCAGACCATAAGAGGGCCCAATTTCACAAAGCAGCCGCAGTCTGCATCAAGAAGTTGGTTTATGCGAGCTTATTTGGATAGATGACACCACTCAACAGCCTCATTTCAATGCTACTTGTGCATATCTGAATTGGAATCATCTATTCCCCCCCCCCCCTAGTGTGAAGGCTGTTTGGATGGAAATATTGTAGTCGGCATCCTGAGTTGCAATGGGCAGTCATTCCATTGATAGGCAAAGCATCCTTGATGGGAGGAGGAAAATGGTAGGTACTTTGGTGATGCGAAACTTCTGAACGGGAAATGCTTTATGGATGAAACATATAAATATAAACATGAGCAATTTAAAAAATGTTAAGCATTTAACTTATGGTTAAGACGACAAAGGACGCATGTTAAATGTATTTGTAAATTCTTTATTTTTCATTGACGTAAACTTCTTCTGGTAGGAGGATGCTGATGATGCCAAATGAAAAATTAGATATAGGACGTAGGAGTGGGCCACCGAATCCAATTTTTTATTGGATTAATATCGTAGCGAAACAAAAGAGGAACAAAATAATAACTGATGGGGCCGGCCGGGTTCAAATCGTGTAATTAAAGATCCAGTCCACCGACAGAAATTGTTTTTGTAAGGCCAAGAGAGGGAATACGTTACGTGGTCTTTGTGAATGCCGGCGCAGTCACCGTTGGCGGATGCGCATGCATGCGCGTTTAAACAATGCCACCAACTCAGTACACAAATTATGTGACTTTGTGGCTTTCAGGTTATTATTTAATCTATCAACTGTCGACACGAAATCTTTCTCATGCACGAGGCTTAATTAGTGGATCTTTGGATGAGATCGGATCAGGCAAAGTAAGCTCTCTCTTCCCTTATGGTTTTCACACTGAAATCCAAAATCTGTTTACTGTTCCAAGCCGTGACTGCCTAATCAAAAGCAACTATTGCACACACTTTCCCCATGAAATCATGGTCCCAAGACTACCCACTTGATCAATGGACCTCGACTGCATCATTGCCTTCCATGTGGCCTAAAAATAAATCATATTGTCGCAACCGTCTTTCGGTTGGGTTCCGGAATTGGGCTTCGACTTGAAAAATGTGAATTGGAGTCGCCACCGATCATTTATTTAAAACAAATGGGTTGATCGGATACCCTATTTCTTACCTGATCTGCGTCTTTCCAAGGATGTGTCGGGTTCGGGAGTCGGTTACGGTCAAGGAAGGATTAGCACCTTGAACCGTCCTTTCGGTACTACGTAATTTTCAGTTGTCTTTGATTAAGAAATTTGCAAGTTAAATTAAAAGGTAAAATTTGATCCGAATTACTTACCCTTAATGAGTTTACGAAAATACCTTTAAAAAACAAGATTTAAAAAAAATAATAATAATAAAAGAAAGTAACAAAACTAAAGAGTAAACTAAGAAAATAAATGAAACTAATAATAATAAACATAAAATAATTGGATGAAAAAAATATGAAATTGAATAAAATAAAATAAATGAAGATAAAATATATATACAAAAAGAATAAAAAAGGTAAATTATTTTTTAAAAGAAAAATAATAATAACAGCAAAGAAAATAAAAATATAATGAAAATAAATAAATAGTATAAATAAAATAATAAAAAAATATATATAAAAACATAAAAATATGTAAATAAAAAATACTAAATAGTAATAATAATAATAATAAATAAATGAAAAATAATACATATAATATTAACTAAAAAAATAGTAATCATAGAAATATAAAATAAAATAAAGTAAGAATATATATAACGTTAGGAAAATATAGTAAATAATAAGTAAACATAGATAAAAAAATAATAATATATATATATAATAATAGGAAAATATATAATATAACGCAAAAAAATTATAATAAATAAAATATAATTAAAATATATATATATATATATATATATATATATAGTAAGGGTTAAATTAAAATAAAAAATGAATTACAGGTCAAAATTAAAAGCCAATCGAAGAAAAAACGACAAAACACGCGGATCCACACGACCCATTTATAAAAATCCGAATAGTTTTTCAAAAACACAAGCCTTGGGGACTAGATCTACAAAAATAGATCTCGAAAACGCCCCCGTTCATCGGCCAAAAACACTTCTCTCAGTTTTCTTTCGAAATCAAAACACAGTAAGGTAAGGAAAAATAACATGCGAAGGTATGAACTTTACCTTTCAAAATATAAATGCTTCGAAAAATGGCTACGAGTTGCTTGTAATTTTTTGCTTGGTATTTCGTATATCATCCTCCGAATGTGTTACAATAGTGAGTTATAATGACTATTTATAATGCTTGTGGATCCTATCTTTAGGAGTTTAAATAATAGTAGAACTCTATTCTATTTTTAGGAGTTTGAATCCTTACAAAATTCTATCATATTTTTAGGAGTTTGAATCCTAGTAGGACAAAAAAGGTGTGTTGACAGCTGCCCTTATTTGCCCATAGTCGTGTAATGGGGATAGGGCAAAGATTAAAAGATACACTTTTCGTTCAATGGAGTTGAAAATTGACTCTGATGTTTCAATAACTCCCTGTCGAATTGAGTTACGGATGACTCCTCCATCGTGAAGTCGAGTTCATCTTGAAATGATATGAAATTGAAGCCGTAGTTCGGAATTTGAATCAGCACGTGGCTTCCTGTTGCCCTTCGGTCTTCTTCTCGGTTTAAAGACCTTGGATCGGAATCGAACTCAAAAATCTTCATTGACAGATAGCTTTTTCTTGACTTAAGGTATGCTGCTTGAAAATGGTTGCTTGTCACTCAGGCACGGCTAACCCAGGTCCTCTTCTCGACTTGAAAACCTCGACTGCAACCGAAAAGTAGTGCAATTGATGTGTCATCGAGCTGAATGGAATCGAACTCGACTATTTTGATGGCAGATAACCCTTCTAGCCTTGAGTTATGCTGTAAATGATGTGCCTTGGAGCTGAGCGTAGTCGAACTCGAAGGTCTTTGTTGACAGATAATCCTTCTTTGAGTTGGATATCCCTCGTCGTGAAGTTGAAATCCAATCTAAAGATGGATGATGATCGTGTGCACGATTCCCTTCGTCGTGAAGTTGAAACCGCGGGTGGGCTCTTCGTCGTGAAGTTGAGCCTGGAATTGGATATCCTTCGTCGTGAAGTTGAAATCCAAGTAAGTAGCATTGTTTCGAGTCCAATATCCTCCGTCGTGAAGTTGAAATTGGCTCTGGAATCAGGAAATTATTTGTTGACAACCAGCAGTCCCTTCGTTGTGAAGTTGAACTTGTGTTGTCTCGAGTCTAATATCCTTTGTTGTGAAGTTGAAATTGGCTCCAAAATTGGGAAATTATTTGTTGACAACCAGCGGTCCCTTCGTCGTGAAGTTGAACTTGCATTGTCTCGAGTCCAATATCCTTCGCTGTGAAGTTGAAATTGGCTCTGAAATTGGGAAGTTGTTTGTTGACAACCAGCGGTCCCTTCGTCGTGAAGTTGAACTTGCGTTGTCTTGAGTCCAATATCCTTCATTGTGAAGTTGAAATTGGCTATGAAATTGAGAAGTTGTTTGTTGACAACTAGCGGTCCCTTCGTCGTGAAGTTGAACTTGCGTTGTCTGGAGTCCAATATCCTTCGCTGTGAAGTTGAAATTGGCTCCGAAATTGGGAAATTATTTGTTAACAACCAGCGGTCCCTTCGTCGTGAAGTTGAACTTGCTTTGTCTGGAGTCCAATATCTTTCGCTGTGAAGTTGAAATTGGCTCCGAAATTGGGAAATTATTTGTTGACAACCAGCGGTCCCTTCGTCGTGAAGTTGAACTTGCGTTGTCTCGAGTCCAATATCCTTCGCTGTGAAGTTGAAATTGGCTCTGAAATTGGGAAGTTGTTTGTTGACAACCAGCGGTCCCTTCGTCGTGAAGTTGAACTTGTATTGTCTGGAGTCCAATATCCTTCGTTGTAAAGTTGAAATTGGCTCTGAAATTGAGAAGTTGTTTGTTGACAACCAGCGGTCCCTTCATCGTGAAGTTGAACTTGCATTGTCTGGAGTCCAATATCCTTCGCTGTGAAGTTGAAATTGGCTCTGAAATTGGGAAGTTGTTTATTGACAACCAGCGGTCCCTTCATCATGAAGTTGAACTTGCGTTGTCTTGAGTCCAATATCATTCGCTGTGAAGTTGAAATTGGCTCTGAAATAGGGAAATTGTTTATTAACAACCAACGGTCCCTTCGTCGTGAAGTTGAACTTGCGTTGTATGGAGTCCAATATCCTTCGTTATGAAGTTAAAATTGGCTCTGAAATTGAGAAGTTGTTTGTTGACAACCAGCGGTCCCTTCGTCGTGAAGTTGAACTTGCGTTGTCTGGAGTCCAATATCCTTCGCCGTGAAGTTGAAATTAGCTCTGAATTTGGGAAGTTGTTTGTTGACAACCAGCCGTCCCTTCGTTGTGAAGTTGAAATCCATTCTCGAGCAAATTGTGTTGTTTCAAGAGAAACTTTCAATATGTCGAGTTGTTCGAAGTGTAGCTTCTTGCTACTGAGTTAAACAACCAACATGAATCTTTAAAGGTGCTTTTGAATCGAGTATCCTTCGTCTTGAAGATGAAACTTGACTCTAAAAGCTGCAAAAAATTCTGTATGTGGAAAATGATAAATATGATGCTCTAAAATGTATGCATCAGATGCATGTAACATGAATTAGTTATATTTTATCTCCTGAAAAAGGTCTGATAATTTGCATTAGGATGTTGAATCCCCAAATGATGCCCCAATATCCAAAAATACCCCAATATTTGATGTTGAATCTCCAAATATGCCCCAAATGTTCCTCATTTCTTGCTTCAACATTGATTCTGAGCATGAGTTTTGTGTCTAAGAGTCACATGTCATTTACCAAGATCCACTCTAGAGAGACTGTCTTGTTTGAAAAAAATGTTTTTATTTCTCTTTTATTTTCAAAGTTCTGAAAATATCAATGAAGAGTTTCGAAAAATGTTTAATCAAAAGTTTTGAAAATATTGTCTCTTTCACGGTTTTACAATTGAGACGAATCATAAAACTAGAGTTCATTGGATATCAAATGTTTAACTACAATGTTAATCTTTCAATAAATTATAGCTATTTGACAAGTGCCAAGATCAAAGCTATTTTTGGGAAGTGGTTAAGTAGGAAATGATAATAAAAAAATCTCAGGTTATTTTTCTTGGTCAAAGGTTTGGCATTTGATGCTCAAAGGTTTGGCATGTGATGCTCATAGGTTTGGCATTTGATGCTCAACGGTTTGATGGGGTAGCTTGCATGTTCCTCTACTGGAAGTATTCTCTGACTCCCAACCTTCGTGGTCACACTCGGGTTGTGTGATGCCGTATCAAGGAATTTGTGTGATCGCTTCAG